CAACTAATAGAAATTTATGCTACAACTCTGAAAGACACCAAGGTCAATCCAAGACACACTGCCTCCCTCCCTCCTCTTCCCATGAAAGGGTATTTATTTATATAAAGATTTATTATATTTTTAAAAATATTTAATTATTCTGAACTCACTTTTCTACATTGATTATGTTGCTGTGTCCCTTTAAGGCAGAGTTGTCCTTAAAGAAGATAACAACCAGCCATCATGTGAAGGACTAGGGCAATTTTCAGCTGGCCAGCTCTACTGCCTTACCCAAATAATTTTCCAAAGTAACTCATTTGCATTCAGAAAAATCATGGGACTAGAGAAGGCTGAAAGGCATGAAAGGAAAAGGAAGAAACAGTCAAGCTTTGAGAATAACCCACTTTTGGAATCAAGACAAAGGTTTTTTGAAATGTGCACAGAGACCTTATTCAGACACCAGTTTTCTAAGAGCTGAACTAAACTCACTCTTACGTCGCAGACTCCTTAACTCTCAGAAAGGACAAGGACACAAAGACAGCCCGTATGATGGACCATGAATCCTCATCTAAGAAACTGATCAAACTCATGGAGACTTGGCATTAAAGGCCAATTTTAAATTTAATACTCATCTTTTGAAGCTGCTCTTCCATGGTTACCTGCCAGCAAGGCTGCACAGGATGAGGTAGAATCTTCTATTCCACCAGCAGCTGTAGCAGGGACACTTTCTCCTGAATGCTCCACATCTACCCCACAACCCTCGTGAACAGATGCCCTGGCCTGCTGCAGGACCTTAGATGCTGCACAGACCCTTGCTGTAACCTCTGAAGACTCTCTGCTTAGCAGCAAGAGGATCCAAAATATATCAAGATCTGGATATTTTCCCTCCTTCTTGTGGGTATCAGCAAGATGCCATGTATGTGGTGCCTCCTGCTTCAGACCCAGCAAGAGTTTAACCTGCTCTTTTCAAGGGCTTGCGCTTAAAAAAGTGGAGGATCCAGTCACAGGTCTTGGAAATACTCTACTCACCTTGTTCATCCTTTTCTTCTGCTTCAGTTTCATGGCAGGGAGCCTCTTTCCCCAACACCAGGCTCCTAACCATACACATTGCCAAGCAAGGGGTGAATTTGAAGCTTACCTGATCTTTCTCAGGCTTGTCAGAGATGTCATTCAGACTGGTGGAAGTCAGGTTTCTGTGAGTCATGGCTGGGCTGCCTGGAAGGACAATGTTGACACCAATTAAAGCACAAGTTTTGATCCAGTCATAAGAACACAGAGGCTCAGGCTACAGCAACACCTTTCCTCATACAGGGGAGGATGATGTGGGGAATTCAGGACCCTGGCAGGCTGCTTTCCGTCACTCCACGTGGCACATGGGATGTTAAGATGCTAACGCTTTGTCATTTCTGATCCACAGTGTCACCCTGACTCTTAGGACAGGAAAAGAGTTTCAAGACTTTCCATAACTCCTGCCTGTGGGAGAGAAAGAAAAGCAGCAACAAGCTGCTGAGAGTGCTGCTGCTGGGTCATCCAGGACCCAGAAACAAAGCTGTCCTCAAACACGTGTGGGACCCTCATGGTCACTCTGACCTGCAAACCTTAGCTCTGCTACGTAGATGGCACCTACCCTCCTCAGCTTGGGTGTGCAGCTCACGGTCCTTCCAAACAGCCACTACTAAAAATTTACCTTTCTTCAAGCAAGCTCAACTAAGCATGTTGATGGGCCCAAAAGCCACCGTCCCTGACACCAGATATCCCAGAGAGATTAAGAAAACCCTCAGGGACAAAGAGCTGAAGCAGTTCACTTCCATTTCTTTTTGAAAGACAACTGCTCATCTGTAGATCTCATACACCTACTAGTGAGGAGCTGCTTGCTCCCTTATGGACCTTACCTACCCTACTTACTCCTGTGGTCTCAGAGACTAGCAGAACAGAAGGAAATAGTTCTAAAGAACACAGAATAAAGCTCCAGAAAATCCTCAAAAAGAAATGGTACTGAGGCACTTCCCATCTCAGCCTCAGCATTTCAAGCCAATATTGATTACACTTACGGTTTGACATTCCTACCAAAATCCAAGTCCAAGTTTTCAGTGTCAATCAGCTCCCAGCACAAACAAGGTCTATAATAAATTGGCATAGTAAGAAAAAAAAGAGGCAAAAAAAAAGATCTGGACTCCCAGATCTCTTTGCAACTACTCAATATATGTGGAGATGAGACTGAAAGCATTTTTCTTATGAGCCACTTGGAATCACAATATACCTGTGGTGTTCTTACTACAACCAGGAACACCAACCCAGCACCAGCCAAGCACAATAAAATTAGATATTAGAAAAGGGGATCTCCAGCTTTTCCTCTTCCTGCTGCAGTAGAGAGCCAGATGGAAGACCCCACCTATCTCTACAAAGTTTGTACACATACAGTTACTCAGAGAGCAAGAAACGCTACTTGGAAGACTAGTTTAAGCTACAGATATGAGAAACCATTCTCCTAATTAATTATTAGTAAGCCATGTCTGCAAATTTTGACTGAATGTTTGATACAAATCTGTAGGTTGGAGAGCAACAAAACAGGAAAACAGGGATCACACTTGCTCATGTAGCCTGTCTCTCTTACACGGTGTAGGCAACACTGTGTTCATTATACCTTCTGTGATACAACTACTGAATTAGCTTTTCTATTAGGCAAAAAGCAAAGTTGGATCAAAAAAACGCCTCCAAAATAAACCCATGTTATTTTAATCCTGAAGTCCACTACTAAAACCCAGGGCTCTTTTTTCTTGTACAGTGCCATTAATTATCTTTTACATGATGCACAGGCACTGCCAATTCTGGGAATGCTTTGACAAGTATATAATGTACCCGTAAATTAAAATGGAAGATGGAAGCCTGACGCAGAGATACCCATGACTGCTTTGCACGTTTGAGCCAATAAAGCCAAATAAAGGATCAGGGAAGCACTTTCTTCCAAACACAGTTTGTTGACACTAATAATTGGTGTCAGGCAGCTCAGTGAGTCACAGCAAAGCTTCTCTCAGGTCCCATCACCGAGTGTCACCAAGTGAGAGCAACAAACAATAAAGTCTTCAGCAGAGTTAAATGGATCTGGAGACTCCAGCTGAGAAGGAAGCAAGTATGGCTTCCAAAAAGCTTTGAGCAAGAGTAGGAAATACTCCTGATTTTGTCATACACAGTTCTTTAATGCTGTTTCAGGGAATTTGATTCCAAAGAGCTGCACTGGGTGGCTGCTGTGAAAGGCATCTGCTGAAGGCACTCTGGAAGGGACACACTCTGCCTCAGTAGTCTTCCAAATTTCTAGGTCCAGTTCTGGGGTAAACAGAATAAAATCTCGGCCCAAAGCTTTAATCTTAGGGCAACAAAAATGACTGGGGGATTGGAGCATCTCCCTGAGGCAGAAAGGCTGAGTGAGCTAGAACTGTACGGCCTGAAGAGGAGAAGGGTGAGGGGAGACCTTATCAATGCCTGTTAGTATCTGCAGGGTGGGTGCAGGGAGGATAGAGCCAGACTCTGCTCAGTAGTGCCCAGGGACAGGACAAGGGGCAATGGGCACAAATTGAACATGGGAAGTGCCATTTAAATCTGAGGAAAAACTTATTTACAGTGAGGGTGACAGAGCCCTGGGACAGGCTGCCCAGGGAGGGTGTGGAGTCCCCTTCTTCAGAGCCATTCCAAACCCGCCTGGACGCAGTCCTGTGGGATGTGCTTCGGCAGGAAGTCAGACTAGATGATTCCTAGAAGTCCCTTCCAACCCTGTCAGTTCTGTGATTTTTCCAGATCACTTCATTTGTTTGCTTTCTTCACTAGATGTCCAAGGCTGAATGTTCCTTAGGAAAGCATTACCCTTCTTTCTAGATGAAGTGGCTAATGGCTCCTTCACCTCTTGCTCCCAACACGACCAACAGAACCACAGCAAAGCCACAGCAGGTCTTCTTAAGGCATCTCATACTCATTCTAGACCTGTCCAGACCCATGTACCAAAACACTTACCTGCCTTCTCCAGTTTTAGAAGTACCACACTTTCCTGCAAACATGACCTTGACTGTACTCAAAATCCATCCCAGCAGCAGCAGCCCCACCACTGCCAAGCTCAACAAGGACAAGTGCATGGAGCCTAGCCAGGAAGGACATCAGTCAAAAACCTGTACAATAAGATGCATGAACCTCCAAGCTAAGGGCTCTTAGGAAACTCCTTCAGTCACAGTTAGAGCACTTTGTATGAGGAACATTCATCCCCCTGTGTGACAACACCATGGTTTCAGCCAGTGCCAGAGCTCCTCCCAGGCAGAAGGACCTGAGCCCCAGAAGAAAGCAAGCCTGTACGTGAGCACCAAAGCTTTAGAAGACACTTAATGTTTCTTGGAAGTAGAAAGCACCTCATAATCCCAACCTAAAGAGGGCGCTCTCAGGCTAAAATGATTCATATATATCTCCACGTCCTTGCAGGAAATTTTACACCTAATGCTGACAGGCAAAACCTCTTCAGCACGCAATATGACTGTTCTCCCCTGAAGATGGATGTCTGTGCATATCATCTTTTGCAGATGCCTTACAAGGTCCTCAAGTTCAGACTAGTCCCACTCAGTACTGCTTCTGAACACAGACTGGAAACCACAGGCTACACCTTTTACCAGCTTTGCTGACCTAAGGAACATGACAGTTTACCAGCCTGCATGTCGAAGATTTCCCCAAATCCCTGATTTTGTCTTGACTGCCAAGCAAAGCCACTAACAGAAAAATGCTGCTAGAGATGCCAGGTGTGCAATGTTGGACAAAAGCCATTTGGCTTTGTGGACAATGTGGCCAAAACCTGTACAGCCTGAAGCCCTTCTGACTCAGGTTCCTATGGCTGTGCACCTTTCATAGAATCACAGAATGGTTTGAATTGGAAGGGACCTTAAAGATCATCTAGGTCCAAACCCCTGCATGGGCAGGGACACCTCCCACCAGCCCAGGTTGCTCCAAGCCCCATCCAACCTGCCCTTGAACACAGGGATGGAGTTTCTACAGCCTCCCTGGGCAACCTGGGCCAGGGTCTCACCACCCTCACACTAAAGAATTTCCTCCTCATGTCTCACCTAAATCTCCCCTCTTCCAATTTTGTTCCATTCCCCCTTGTCCTCTCACTCCCTGTCCCTTGTCCCAGGTCCCTCCCCAGCTTTCCTGGAGCCCCTTCAGGCACTGGAAGGTGCTCTAAGGTCTCCCTGGAGCCTTCTCTTCTCCAGGCTGAACACCCCAACTCTCTCAGCCTGGCTCCAGAGCAGAGCTGCTCCAGCCTTGGATCATCTTTGTGGACTCCTCTGGACTCTCTCCAGGAGCTCCATACCCTTCTTATGTTGGGGGCTCCAGAATGGAACACAGTACTTCATAGGCCCAAAGCCAGGACAGACGTGTGCAATGCTCATTTTGTAATGTTTGTATAAATAGCCTGCGCATAAGAGCAACATCACAGATGACTCAATCATGTGGAGGTGACATGGACACAAGGCAGTATGAGTCTCTGGGCTAATACCACTTCTGAGAAAGAGCTGAAAGAGGAAGAAAAAACCCAACCTGAAAAACCTGGGAGTCCTCAGGTGACCAGCTTCTCTGAGTTGAGAGGAAACATGAGAGCTGAAGGAAGCAACAAACCTCTCAGCCTACGTGCTCTCAGAGCCCTAAGCAAAGCAGAAGAGTAATAAGTTTCTGCTGCCGAGACCTCAGCCAAAGTCTTGGGCACACGATGTTCACCATCAGGTAGTTTGCTAATGAAAGAGAATTTCCTGATGTGGGCTCAGTTTACATCACAGTCTCTCTGGCAAAGGTGATGTGAGCCTCTCCTTGGCTGTGCTCAGCCAAGGACTGGTGCAAGTAGTTAAGGCAGGCAGCCCAAACCCCTCCATGGTATCATCTCATCCTACTAATAGGCTCTGGAGTCATCTTTCACAAGGGACCTTAAAGATCATCTAGGTCCAAACCCCTGCATGGGCAGGGACACCTCCCACCAGCCCAGGTTGCTCCAAGCCCCATCCAACCTGCCCTTGAACACAGGGATGGAGTTTCTACAGCCTCCCTGGGCAACCTGGGCCAGGGTCTCACCACCCTCACACTAAAGAATTTCCTCCTCATGTCTCACCTAAATCTCCCCTCTTCCAATTTTGTTCCATTCCCCCTTGTCCTCTCACTCCCTGTCCCTTGTCCCAGGTCCCTCCCCAGCTTTC